AATTCACCCCGTAGTGCGCGTTCTCAAAAAAAAAAAAAAAAAAAAAAAAAAAAAAAAAAAATCCTTCTCACCGAATGACTCTAGTGAAATAAATATTTCAGGCTAAATAAACCTGAACGCCATTAGTTTTGAAACTAATAATAATGAAGATTCCCTTCCGTAAAACCATCATTTGTCGGCTGTCGGAATGAGCTATAAATATTGTGAACATAAATCCTTCTCCACGCCAGAGATAAGATCGTCTTTCCAAGGTCGAAACACTTACCGTATTTTTATGTACTGTTGTAATTAAAGTTCGAATGGTAGAGGAGCAAAAATATTTTGTCAATTCTCTTGACGTAGGCAGTAAAGTTAACGTGATTAGAAAAGAAATAGCAGAGTATTTCAAATAGACCAAGCAATAAGTGCTCATATCTAGCTTGAACAAAATCGTAAGCTTAAAACATTAGTGTAAATTCCAAAGGCTTTAAAAGAAATGGTGAATTGTTAACTGGTCTTGCTCTTTCAAAACAACTGGGTGTTAAGAAAATGTTTTACAACAAATATTTGTTACCCTGACACATTTTTTTAGACCGAACAAGATCTGTGATCTTTTGCGAATTTACCTGCCGATGAAACCAAATCGAATTACAGGATGAATTGATCATGTTACAAGAGACGGTGGCTGGTTGGGTAGTGTGTGGGTCTAATGAATTTAAGTAAACAAAGAGTTGCTGTGGAGTAGTAAAATATTTCCAAGATTTAGATAATCAACAAATTTCTGGTAGTTGCACTACCTTGGTATTAAAGATAACGAAATGAGGAGGATTAAGCCCCAAGAGTTGTTCAATTAAACGGTATGTTTTAAAGACGGCCGATATGAGGCTGGTTTACCTTGGAACGGAAATTCGTGGGTGGTGTTGGTGTATTTAGTTATGGCAAAGCACACAAGGGCTATCTGCCTAAGGGAAGGGATGACTTCGTGGAGGACGTTCTAAGGGAAACTGGCTCGTATACACGTTACACATGGGGAAAACCACGAAAACGCCCATGCAGCCAGCCCGTTCGCGGGATTCGAACCTCGGACCGAACTACCAGTGTTCAGCGACTTTACCGCTCGGCCGCTGGTGGGCTCCGGAAATTCGTGGGAACTTGGAGATAATTATGATGTCGCAAAAAATCTACTTTCACGTATTGTTGAAACGTGGTAAACGCATATTGTGATATATAGAATAGTTATTTGAATGAGAGAATAATTGAGAAAGCGAGTCCAGTTGAAGTAAATAAATCATTATATTATTGACCCCGCCATGCAGTTGTCATGGAGAGCATAACTACTAAGGTAAGGATTGTTTCTGATGGAAGTTGGCGTTTAACAGGACAGTTATCTTTAAACAATTGTTTATATCAAGTAGTTAATTTAAACCAAAACAAATTTACATTCTTTCGCTTGAAAAAGGTTTCTTTGCCAATTCTGGAACAGGCATTTGAAGCGGCTAGTAATAGGTGTCACGAGACCCAACGGGTACAAGATTCTCCGAGCAGCCATTATTAGAAACTTTAGTGTTGCTTTCGTATTTGAGAAATTCTAGCAAATTTAATTTTTGAGAACAGGTGATCACTACAGGGATCCGACAAGAAGCCAAGAAATCTGTAATCTAACCTTAATGTTCTGGATGTAATTGCTTAAATCCTACAGCTTCCCACGCCTTTATTAAATCATCAGAATTTGAAATCCACTTTAAGGGCATTCCAGAATATCTCATTTTCTTAGTAGTTTTAGGAATTTCAAAGACAAAAGGAATATCGTCACTATCGGTAATAAAAAAAGTTAAACATTCATACTGTAGCAAGAAAAGTTCCAGTATTTCTCTCTATTTTTAATGGTTACGGCTATTAAAAAGGGACTTGCATTGACAGTTATTCTTTTGAATTTATACACGCATGAATTATTCATATTGTCAATATTTCCTCTTAAAAGTCCTCTCGAAGAAGCAAGGCTAGGAAACTTTTTTTATGCATAACGCACACGCATTTGTAGGTGCGGTAGCAGAGTTAAAAAGATTTAGTATGGTTAATTCCCCTGGTGAACTTCTTGCAGGACATTTATCTTCCAAAGGTATTGACTGGAAGCTAATGCTTCCAAATTACCCAGTTTTGTCTGTCATTGGAAGGTTGGTGTAAAGTCATTCAAATACTATTTGAAACTTGTCGTGGGAAATACTGATTGAAGTATAGGAGTTTTTAACAACTGTCATGCAAATTGAAAGGTTTTTAACTCGTGCCTTATTTCTTCGTATTCCGATCCTAACGATTAGTTTTATCCCTCGGAATCTTTTTGATCGGCAGAGAAATCACCTCTTGCCTAATTTAACAGGTATCCCGAAAACTGATTTTTCCCAATGGCAAAAAATTTTATTGAAAATAATTGGCAGTTGTGGCGAAAAAATTATCTTGCGCTATATCAAAGATAAAAGTAATGTTAATGTTGGAGCCGCTGTACTTATGAAAGATGAGAATATTTCTCTAATCAAAATGGATTGGATTCTAGAGTCGCTGAGATATTTCCAGGCTAGGATGGAAAGATAAATGTTAATTTACAGTTGACAGATAGAAATTTTCTCAAAAGTAATTGTCTCATATGTATATTGCCAAACCATAACTGAGACTATATAGCATTGTTGTAATTATGTTTTCATTTCTGTTATAATTTCTTTTAAGTTGCTATAGTATCACTGTAATATGGATTTAACTATTGTATTCTATTATTAGTTTTGCAAAATTTGTTAACGGTATTCTCACTGAAGAGCTGGAGGACATTGTCTTTCCTCCCTGGTTTACGAATTACGAAGGGTGGAAAATGCTTCCAGAGGGCTGTGTTGTACCAAAAAAGCAAAACCAGTGAGCGTGTTCCCGCCTTTGTGGCGTAATTGTTGAAAAACAAGAGTTGTGAAATAAAAGCTACAGTCCTAACTATTGTGCGGAGATTTTGAATGCGAGTTATATTTAACTGCCAAGTGCAAATAAAATTTAATTTTGTACGTGAGATGAGGCAGAAAACTTTTATTTGCCTCAGGTTTAATGTGTAGTCTATTGTAGGACGGCGGGTTGTATTTTGGGATGGTTTGTTTCTTCGCTTCTAATCTTAAATTGAGTTTTATTGGTAAAGATTAAAGAAAGTTTTTTTTTAAATTTTATTTTGCATAATATCCCTTGGTCCTTCCTGTGACAATATCGGCAGCGAACACGTCTATTTTTATATACTTTGACGAGTTGTTAAAAGTAATCAGTGTAAAATCCACATATCCGTACTGAGGCAAGAACCCTGAAAGAAGCCTTTTTTGCACATTTTTGTGTCATTGTTGCTTATGATGTTTCTTTCGAACAGGTAATTAGGTGGATTATATTTACCGGGGAGCGCACATTGGTCAGTAAAGTCATATGCCCGGTTGATCACTTCTAACAAGAGTAGTGACGGTAGGGGCTGCAGTCGTATATTTGGAGCCCATTAAATATTGTTATTCAATATAATACAGCACGGCCACACACACATTTAACATCAGGAGTGGGCTCAATTGTAGGCGAACGGGCTGGCTGCATGGGCGTTTTCGTGGCGTTACCCATGTGGTAACGTAGGTATGAGAGTTTCTCTTAGGGTCTTCCCCGAAGGAATCGCTTTCCTTTGGCAGATAGGCCTCTCGTGCTTTGCCATAAACCAAACCTTAGTAAGGAGTCTGGAAATCTCTGCAAATTCGATAATCTGTAGAACATATGCTTTTTCAACGTCCTCGCTGTGCGTGTGAACTAACTTCTGCCCCATACACGTTCTGCAATATCCAAAATATAATTGAAGCTCTGCTTGATTAGGAGAAAGCCGAATTAACATGGGTATTCAAGAATTTTCTTTGAGGATTAGTAGTCAGTAACATAACTCGAATATTTCTGTACCACATTTAAATATCTTAAACATTAAGGTAATCAGACTGTCATAATGCAGTGAGAAATCCTTCGCTAAAGTAGTAAAACTAATTTTGCAGTGCATAATAGTTACTTCTTAGACATTGTCAGTTTCACATGGGAAAACTAGTGCCTTTAATAATTCCTGTAGTATTTAGTGCTTCGTAATGAGCGTTAAACGCCAAGTTTATGTAATTTAGACCAGAATTACCTGAAACGGAAGGAATGCTCCAGCATTTGGCTAAAGTCTTTAGGCCGAACTGTTCTTAACTTTAATCATTTCTGTAAGCTCCAGTAAATATTGAAGCATTAAATATTGAAGCAGTAAATATTGAAGTATCATTTACTATAGAATAAACATTAACAAAAATAAGAATTCCAAAGTATCTGTTCTCTTTAAGTGTCAGTTTATTGCAAAAGGAAGTTTCTTACTTCTGAACTGCGTTTTGAAAATTCAGACAAGTTGAGAGGATGAGGAAACTCAAATATGAATCGCTTTCCTCTGGGACGTTTTGCCCGGAAGCGTCTTGCTGCCAGGTTAGATGGTTTTGGCATGCTTTGTCCTGACGGATTGCGTAAGTAAATGAAAAGTGTTTTTCAAATATCGAAAGTTAACCAAGTATCACTGTAGCGTTTGTTGGAGCAGGAAGAAATGAGGTATTTTTCTATCTGTCTGAAATTGCGACTTGCTTTTAGGAACTGCTATATTATGAAAGATTTTTCAAATCCATCTGTATTAATTTGCAGCATTGTGATTACTGAAAATTAAATGCCTCTATATACCAGGTATTGGAAAAACATATGAGGTTTTTTTCCTGATCTTAATTTCATTAAATGAAAATTTTTTCTTGATATTCAAGAGATTAACATTCTCTTGTGACCCAAATCGCTTCGAAAATTTACATTCTAAAACGAACACTGGAATTCCTTTTAACGCATTGGTCTCTTGCAAGTTTAATGCTAAAGATTAAATTAGCTCCCAGTTTTCCTCGAAGTATGTATAAACATAGAATTGGTTTCACCTTTGTTAATGTTACTGACTCCAGGTTTCATTTTATTTCCAGAATCTAATTCAATGCATAATAATCCTATTGTGTGGCCGGCTCCGACATATTCAGGGTCAACTGGATATCCTAGAGAATCTGTACTTTATCCACAGGTAAGCTATGAAATTATATTAATAATTATGAAACTCACTGACGAGTTGTAACTTTAGGACTCGAAACGCACTCAACAAATATACTGAAGTCTCTAATATCCGCACTAATTAATGCTCGATTATGCATGAAAATTCTGAAAACCTTTTTAATCCTGAAATGATCTACTCATCAAATGTTTCAAGTGAAAGATATATAGCTTAGCTTGTTTAAAGTAATTTTCATTGATTATTTCAGAAAACAAATCCTAAAATTTAGCCATCATAAAGAGATTCTGAAAGAGTATTTCTGTGGAACTAGCCGATAAATGATTACTCCAGCAGTCGCCTTTAACATTTCCAGGAACAATTACTCCTCTTGCCTTTTCCCTTTTGCGTTCAAGTTAAGTAACGAAAAGTAATATTTGTAAAAACAGCATTTCTTATTTTGGAAGGCGGAAGGAAAAGATATGAGAGTTCAGTACAATTTTCTTCTAGTATCAAACGTCATCAATATTAAATGCTTAAAAGGAAAACTTGAAATATTAAACTAGTAAGCATATGCAGATGTGCCATGTGCACTGGTTGTTATATTGACTTAAAATGTAAGCCTCTATCATTTCGGGAATTATTGCTGCCTCATTTCACAGCATTGGTAGTTAACGCGACTCTAAATTATTTCAGAACTATGAGTATTGGAATCTTTAAGCCGAGGCAGGCTATTGAGGCAATATAACTTTAGCATATGGTAAGTAAAGATCTTTAAAGAATTTTTGGAGATGGAGAACCGTAGCTAATTAGAAGCACATGTCACCCAACATGTTAAACTGTGTAATCTCAAGATGTTGAAATATTTTTGCTTACACAATAGCTTAACCCAAGATTTACTGGCTTAAATTTTCTTGGGTTTAACTATTCTCACCGTTTTATAAAAATGTAAGCATCTTTCAACACATCATCGATCTTCGAATGGTTTGATATTCGATTAACTTAATCTAACAAATTTAAGAAAAATACCAATGTAACTCGAATAAATTTCGAAATTCAAAGAATAACTTATTGCTTTAAAAGTACCTGATTCACAGGTATATTTTTCTCACCTCTAAATCCGATACTTTTGAAGCAATACATCAATCCTTAAAAGTGGTAGCCGAAAAGTTTTTTGTAACGTGTTTCCTGTTGTAGTCGCTTAGATCTTCAAGACTTTCTGCGTTCATTAGGTGGTGATGGGCAGTATATTATTTAGCCTCCCGTCTAATGAAAGGTACAGAAGTAGACTCGCGATGTTTAGAAAGTTAGAGCGAGCATATCGCTGTCTTACAGTGCAGCAGAAGCACATCAAGGGATGTACAGCATATACTTCACTAATGCAGTGTCTGTATGAGCCCAGTACTGTAGATCGTCAGTGGTGTTACTCTTCGACCCTTGCGAGCCTTTACCAATGCATACCACGTTTTCCCCTGGGCATGAAGAGTGAGAAATTCCAGCCAAAGGACATAAGCACCACAGTGCGACGTAAAAAAAGGATAAAACTGGCTTCAGCCAGTGTGCATATGTATAGAAAAGTAATTTTCTTCAGATATGTAAGTATCTTCAAGAGCGAATCGCTACCAAAAGTAATCGCAACTCTGTGCTCTACCGCTCGGCTATAACTTCTCGGAAGAAAGGGTGAATTAATCTTCCGCTTCTTAAAATGAAATGATTAGCTGCATCGCTTGAAATCCTATAAGATTTTCTCTGAAGGGGTGTTTTGGCATTCTGTACGTGTGTAATAAGCATAATTTTTTGAAGAAATTCTATAACTGTTTGGTCTTTGAAAATTTCAACTACTCAATTCATTTCTGTTTCAGAATCTAAACTTTTTCGAAAGATTTTAGTGTAGCTTTTTCTTCTATGATTGTAGTTTCACCATTTCTGGGGTTCATTACGAAAAGTTTTCTTCTGTTTTATTTGGAGGTGGGTGATTTTCTTGTGTTTTGCGGATTTTTGAAAGTTTCTTATATTCCGGGCTTCCGCAGTAGAAACTTCTATGGTCTTATAATTTGGTTTTCATGAGGTTTTAATTTACAGAGAGAGCTCCTATTATTTAGTTCACACTTGTAACAGCGTTTCTCATTAAAATATTTGTGCTAGTATACGAAACCTCTGGCATTTAAAGCGTTGGGTCGGATTTTTCTGGTATGTGGTTCGGTTTGACGTGTACATTTAAGTTGAAAATTTTCTTTAGTTGTAATATATTTTTCTTCTTGAGTAGGAGGTCCCACCAGTGGCCGAGTGTTCAAGTTGAACACTGGTAGTTCGGTCCGGGGTTTGAATTTCGGCAAATGGGCTGATTGCATGGGCGTTTTCGTGGTTTTTCCCATGTGTAACGTGTATACGAGCCAGTTTCCTTCAAAGTCTTCCACGAAGGTATCCCTCCCCTTAGGCAGATAGCTCTCAAATGCTTTGTCATAACTTTAATAAATAAATCCTTCTTTAAGTAGCTGCAAGTTCAGCAAAATAGAGTGGGAGTCTGATAATAGTCTTCGATCTCCATCGTGAATTGTTTGCCTTGAAGAATTGGGAGATTTCTGTAAGATTTTTCAGTTTCTTCGCCGATAGATGAACGCAGATTTTTGATAATTACTTTGATATTTTTCTCGCTGTCGAGTTGATGCGAATGGAACCTTATTTTTTGTTAGGTCTTGTAATCTTCCAACATTGGGAATAGAGGTGAATGACTGTTATTCATCTGAGCTTCAAACTCGCTGTTGCATATGCTGTTTAATACTTTATCAAGTGATATTCAGTCTACACTTTCCTCGAATATGACAACAGGTGGAATTCTATCATTATGTTTGGAGTTTCGTTCTTTTGAATCTTGTTTATTAGCTTTAGGGGCTGGAGAGAATTCCTCAAATGATTTTCACATTTGGAATGGTTAATTTCAGCTATTTGCATGTTTTGGTGGGGGTTATCCATTTATTTTTGTAACTGTTTTCAGTGTTGCTTTGGGTTGGGGTCGCATCGGTTATGGTAATAACCATTTTATTATCATGATTTTCTTCCGTTTTCTGATTTTGACTTAATTCTTTCACAAGGTGAGGAAAAGCGCTCTTATGCTTGTTTACCATATCTTGAAAAGCGGTATTCGGGTTAATCTGTTTAGCTTTGCTGCGGTTTTTAGAAACTTTCTTTAAGTGTTCAGAGAACAATTGCAGGTGTATTGCTAAAACCTACATTAGTAGTTGAAACATTGGAAACGATCTATTCAGCTTCATTACCTATGTCATCCTCAATGGGAAAGTACCGTGATGTAATGGACCTTATCCGGTGGTCATTTGGCAGACACGAGGAGAACGAGCAAAAAAATACTTAATTGCACAGTCAAGGAGAATCATGCATTGCATGGGACGGTTGCCAACCTCTATGATGACCAGTATTGGTTTAGGCGCTTCCGAAATGAGGCAGCTTGAAGATAATCAAGGTAAGGAAAATCTCTAGGACTACAAGACAAAAAGCTGTTAGAAATGTGCGAGAATAAAATTAGTATAACAGAATAAGTAGAGGCTTGAGGATGTCGAACAGCAACGGAAGGATTTATGCATGCCATAAGATTTGTTACAGTTAGACCCTAAGTACCTTCTGAACTAGATTTGTCTGGCGCAGATAACCTTGCCAGGTTTTGTGCCAAATTACAATAATCCAATGCTTCTGAACTAGTCATGTATCTCCGCGGGCATCAGCCGGGCAGATGCCTACTTATCGCGGGGTAGACAGACTGGTATTTGAATGTTTGCAGGAAGGCGCGAGGTGCTTGCTAATCAGATATTTTAGGGGCCATGTTTGCTCAGAGTTACATTATCTGATTTAACATTATTTTAATAAAAATTGTTTTGTTAAATGGTACTTTTTTAACCACAAAGCCATTAAAACAAACGATTAGTTATGAAAAGCTAATCTAATATACTATATGTAGAGTATATTTCTTCGTTTTTAATATGGGTCAAAACATTCGCACTTACACTCAATAGTTTGAGAAATTTTCATGTTCGATTTTCGAAAACTTCCATCTGCTACGTAATCAAGTTCTATGCTTTTTGTCTTAAATTAACGTCCACGATTATCACCAGCCGAGTGGGTAAGGTTTTAGACAGTGATTTTATTCTCAAGCTGGGCTCTCTGCAGAAGTGTTTGCCTCATTGGGTTTTCTCAGTGTGTAACGCGAATGAGATATTGTCTTCTACAATAGTGTGGTTTACAATGGTCGACTTATTAATCAGTCTTCAATATTCGCTAACGTTCTTTAATTGAAAATTTTTACTTCGGATTTCTGAATTTCACTTACAAGAAAGGGCTTATTTCATCTTAATTTTGAATTTCCTGAGTAAAATTATTGAACTAACAATTTAATTTGGGTATTGTCAACAGATCCCCATTGATCTTGCATATTTAGGTAAATTTTGGTGTATCTCTGCTGTCGGATGATAGTCTTGATGCGCATTTTCATTACTGTGACTTAATATTCATGTTTATAAAAATGAATGTCACACTAATGAAATTGATTAATTGAAAAGACTTATCAAAATTTATTATTTTTGGACGTAATTTCATTTACCGATGCCCCACAGCGAACTTCAATGCTTTAGGAATTTACCACATCTTGCGTTTTAAAGGTCTTTGAAGAGCCTTTTAGAGAAATAGCCTGGGCTGAACCAGTTTGAACTTCTTGCAATGAAAGCCCCATTGAAAAACTACGGCTCAGTCTAAGGGGAAATATAATAGGGATCACCGACATGACGTTTCTTAGGCAAGTTACATCATTTTCATTCATTATCCTATTAGTTAATCGACTTGAATACGTTAATACAAGCAGAACATTTCCATTTTAGAAAACAGTGTGTCCGAAAATACTGTTGCACTTTTGAGAATAAATTGATCATTAATTCTGCTACTCTTAAGTTAGATTCTCTAAAATTCCTAACCCGTTGCAGCAAACTTAAATGCAGACGTAATATATTTAAAAGGGAGATTAAAAACGTAGATCATGTAATATTTTTCAGTAATTTTTTCGTCAACATTAATACCTTAAATCAGATCTAAACTGAGGGACATCAAGCTGGCCGAGTAGATGGCTAAGATAGTACTATTAATGAAAACCAGACATTCAGTTGGTCATCGCAAAGAATGAAATGCGATAAAAGTAACATTTTTTAAGTTGCTATAAATTGTTAGCAAGTATATTGTAAAACTGTTGCAAACAAGTTTTAAACTTGAAAACACTCGAATTTAAAACTCTTGCTTCTGTATGTGCTTGAAAGTTAACAATCGTAATTTCTTTTAAAGAGGACCTCAAAGTTTTTCATAGATAATTTGGCACCACTTTTAATCGTTCAATCCCATCTATGTTTGAAGGTTAGGTAATATAACACTTGATTGTGCTGGCATGAATGACAGCTTTAACTCAGTATCCGAGTTAGCAACTAAATTTAAGACTCAGTTTCTTTGGATTTCTTTGCGCAATTTTCTTTAACTGAACAACCTTACCGTGCTATGTTTGTATCCAACTGATATTTCCCATACGTAGCCGTAGTCACCTTTCCCTCGATAAACCCTTATTTAAATCAATGATTAAGATAGTATTATCAGACAGGTAAAAGGACACGTAAACAGAGCTTTATTTCTGCTCTTTTTCCTAAATAAGGGTACATTCAAGATTTTTCCCTTCGTCGTATGGCGTATTTTATATACTTTTCCCTTTTTTTTTCCAGGGGACTGTATTATACTTCCGAGGATGTGATATACTAGGTACATATTCCAAAGTATTGCTTGACCATCACTTAGCCCAAACGTAGGAGAATACGCATACAAAATGGCGCAAGGTGTCTTCATCTGACATATGTCGTGTTTTTACATTTAAAAATTTTATTTTGATAATTTCAGAAACTTATTTATTAAACGATACAGCGTATTTCACTCGTTGTTACATGCGTTAAATTTGAATGTTCTTAAAGTTGTGTTGTCTTATTGAAAGTCTCGGCTGAATTTTTGTGATAGTCGAACAAAATCTATCTTTGAAGTTAAGCTAATTTTCTTAAACTTCAGCCGTTTCATTCTTTTTCTGAAGAAAGTTTTTAATTTTTTATCATTAGCTAGCAAATTTACGTTTTATTACCATCATTTAAGCCAGCGATTCTCAACCAGTGGTACGCAAAGAAACAAAGTATTTTTAACTATTAAGTTCAAAAATTTTAAGTACCCCAATATTCTGTTTGTTTTTTCTCCAACACTTGTAAATTTATATGATCTGACCTTTGTTTGAGGTCAACAGCCGCTCATAGACTTTAGCAAAATAATCCATTTTTTCCACAAATATTCTTTTACCATAGATATAACAAAATTTGTTATAAATGACTCTTTTAAAAGGAGTAATACAAATGGATGTTGTACTTAACAGAAAATAAAGATAAGTTCCTTTTAAAAAATCCTCCTTTTACAGTTAATCTATTTATTAGCACACCTACTATTTACATCGCCACCATTTCTGGGCTCATGTTGCTTTTATTTTCAATCGCAATAATTTTTCACGTCCATATGCTGTGCCTAACAGCAAGTATTTTACCTTCGTTTGCTTTGCATTCCTTAAGTTTTTTGTGCGATTTGAAAATATCGTAGTTTGTTTTTGAAGAACTCTTAACAAGGTCGCGCATTTAAATATTTGTGAAAAAATAAAACGTACCTAGATTTCAAAATGGAAAAATGGCTGACTGACTAAGCGGAAAACTGATGATTCACAGGTGATGGATCCAGAACAATCTACTAGCAGTAAGGATATTGAAAAGAAAAATTTTATAGAAAATATTTCAAGTTGTTCACTATTTGGGTTTATTAGGAATAGAGAGGAAATGGCAACCTCAATGTGTTATTTGCTGCGAAGTATTATCCAATCCTATTATCCTATATTTAAGTATGAAACCATAGTTTCTTAAGACCTCTTGAGTATAAGCAGGCTAATTTCAACGATAAATCTGAAGAATATTTTAAGAGGAAATTATTGAAGTTCAAATATGGTAAACAAGTAATGAAACGTTTTGTTACTCCAAGCGAAGAAGCTTTGAAAGTTACCTAGTAGGCCTAACAATTGCCAAGACTGTACAGGTTCACACTGTCCTTATACTGCTAGCAGCTAAAGATATCTTTTTAACATTATTCAACGAAAAAGTGGCTAATGAATTTGATAAATTATCAAATGAAACAATAAGTCGACTAATTCCTGAAATGGCAAATTCCATAAGACACACTTATTCAAAATATAACAGTGTGTATTTAGCATTGCAGTTGGATGAAACTACTGATATAACGAACTTTGTTCATTTATTAGTTTACATATGTTTCGATGAAGATAAACAAATTGCCGAAGATTATTTTGTGAAATTCTTCATGATGGAGCAACTGCAAATGAAATTTTCAATGTGGTTGACAATTTTCTGTCTAAGGATATTTCCAATTTCTTGGAATACGTGCATTGCCGTATGCATTGACGAATCTCTGGCTGTAGCAGAAAAACATTCCATTGTTATTTCTCGAAGAAAGGCGCGCCTGAAACTAAATTTACTCGCTGCACCATTCATCATGAAGCTTTAGTAGCCAAAACAATCCCCAAAATCCTGAAAATGGTTTTCAATCAAGCTGTGAAAATTAATTTTATTAAAAACTGAGCTTTCGATTCAAGAGTATTTACATTACAAAATGTAGTGGTGGTACTAAAGTTTTGCAATTTTTGTTTATATGGTATACGTTAGTCAAAAGGTTGAGAACCGCTGATTTAAACTAATAAAGCAATGTTTTGGTTTGTCCCAATATTTTTAATACTAAAATTACAAACTGAATTTTAACTTTACAGCCTACCTGGCCGTTCGTGTGGCCTCAGCATTTCTACTTGCAACAGCAGTGTCATTACCCTCCTGTAAGTATATTGATTGCACTTTAGACTTATTTATCTGATTTAAAAATGCATGGAAAATTAAAAATTGTTTTCTTTTAAAAGGCACAAACTGGTTATCCTCAGTATATGTATCCTGTCGCACCTGAATATCCTTTCGCAACATTGGGTCAAGTTTCAGCAACTGATTTTTCAGAAACTTCGTCTGCTGATAGCGGGGAGGTAAAAAATGATTTAGCACTATTTCTGTGTACCGTAATGGAAATTTGTTTATCAAAGTAGGAAGCGCAATATAACCTCTAAAAGCGCAGCTGGTAGCAGTAGTTACCAATATAAGTGACCGTTATTCAATTAATAGAATTCAGCGTGAATTTTTATTTAATCTTTAATTGTTATAGTACGGTTCGTAGGGACACGAGCATTCAGTTTAACTTAATGACTTCTTTCTTACCTGATAAATACTGCATCTCGACACGTTTATTTTCAACGAAATTTACTTACCTGAAATTTATTGAATGTATTAATAATCATGCACCTAAAATTGCGGTGTTCTTTTAGGGGTTTCCTGAGACCCGCCCATACAAGTAAAATTATGAATGAGTGTAAGCGAGGAAATTTCGCAATAAATTTACTTCGAAATTTCCTCGCGTATTAAACTGTAATGAAAAACAAATTTTCGATTTTGCGTATTTTATTGCATATAGGTTTTATATCGCACTTCCTTACGAAACTGTATTTACTTTTATCTAAATGTAGTAGCTTGCAAAAATTTTGTTTTAAAATCATGTTTTACTTTTCGCTTATCACCAAATTGACATTTTTCTTTGCCAGCTTTTCTGTCACCATTCTTTAAATTGTTAGCGGAATGTTTTTTTTCTGGTTATTACTTTAGTGCTAAGTCATTTCCTATAACCCTTATTTTTCATTCGGATATCTATGAAAGACTTGCTATTTTAAGGGACTTGACATTTACTTCCACTAAGCCTAAATTTCTATATCTTCTCTGCTAAAGAAAATATTTTCATCATAAGCACTATACATTTAAGTATTATTCTTTTTCTTATCGATCTGCTTGAATTTGATCAATCTACTTGATAAATTTTCATTTAAATTCTAATCTCTTTCCATTTCATCTTCCGCTAACTATGATTGTGCTTTTCATAAGGAATTTTTCTCTATCCAGCACTAAGCGAAGTATCCAAATGTAATTAGATTTAATCGATTTCCTTCTTTATACTTGAAAAGTGGCCCTTTGTTCTGTGACTGAATTTCAAAATACTTCCTCAAACTGTATGAAATGAGTATTTGTCTAGATTGCAATAGGATGAATCCTTACTTTTAATCTATTTGAATATGATTTTATACTTATGACCAAAATATTTAATGTAGTAAGATTTTAAACTGTTAATTGTTTAACTAATTTTAAACTAATGGAAGATCTGGCACTATTCTCAAACTAGTAGATATTTAATTTAGAAGTCAAACAACACAAATCAGCGTTATATTTTTAAATTTTCACCGTACCAGTTTCGATGGTCATCGAACCATCAACCCCAGCTGCAAAAGCTCAAATGAACGAGATAAGATATAATGATTAGATAAGAACTTTTTTGTCTTATAAAATCATATCTTTCATTTGCGCTTTTGCAGCTGAAAATTGGTGGTTCGATGACCATCGAAACTAGTACGGTGAAAATTTAAAAATATAACTGATTTTTGTTTGACTTCTAAATTAATATTTGTTCGGCGTGTTATTTTATCTTAATTGGTAGATAATTACTCTGAATTATTTTAGAGCAATTCTTTAATGCCTATTATCGTATTAGTTTTTAGTTAGCATTAAATGTTTTTGAAACCTCGTAAAATTTATTTCAGAGTGGAAAGAACCGTTCGAAACCGATAACTTCAACTCCTGTTTCATCGGATTATGAACGTAATCGCATTTCTCAAGTGAAAACTCCCAATACACAGAATACAGCAGCTCAACGGTATCCCAATGGAAACATGGAGACTCCTTACGTTCATACCAACCCCTTCCACCATATTCACCATCCCGTTCTGGCAAAGACTGTAAATGGTGTGGCAATCATGGCCTATCCTAGTTCTTTCCTTATGAGTAGTCCAGCAATTGTTCATCTGAAAGACGGTCCCAGTGAATCTGATAATGTATTGGCAGAGCTTGGATTTATTCATTCTCCTATTTCTTCTGGAGCACTAACTCCTCCTCCAACACCTTTAGCTTCTATGCCTTGCGATTTCAATGCAAATACTAGTATGGATTTAATGAGAAAGAACTGAAGTCAAAAATCTGTTTGAGACGCCTTGAATGTGCCTTTAACACCGCGTCTTTAAATAACTTAAATGTGTGCGTCTAACTCGAGATAGTTGCTCAGTCCCTTAAACGCATAATCTAAATCCCATACAGTTGTGTATGATCCACAACTCGCTCGTTTTATTTGCTCGCTTTTACATCTGTTTAAAATGTGTCAATTGTTGCACTGATAACCACGTATATCTAAATGCACTGGCCTATCAAATGTGTAACTATGCTTTTAGTTAGAACTTGTCAACAATTAATTTGACTCAGGCTAATTTTATAAAACTGGTTCAGCACTACTCATAATTTTATGATCCATTTGCTATACTCGAAGTTTTATGTATATGGAGTGTATAAAATGTCAATATGTCTGAATAATGGTTACTAACTCCCTTCCCCCAAAGACTTGAATTTATGGTCAGCTAAGCGATGTCTTTATCTGAATTTTAACATTTTACCACCCCTCCAGTCTTTTAATACTCTCAAATGTCTTGTGACCTGACATTTTCTAATAAACTATTGTGGGCAGAGCTTTCTCTCGTTTTGTGTACTTGTATTTGAAATATCTCAATAAAATTGATAAGAAGTGCTTAGTTAGTTTGTTTATACATGTACTTGCAACCTTAAGTTACACAAACAGCTTAGTATGGAATACGGCAGGTTTAAAATTTCGTCATATATAACATACTATTTGGAAGCTCTTTAACAATGCTTAGTTCGGAATTTTAGTAAAGGGTTCCCGAAATGGCAACTATATCCCAAAATTTAAAAAAAGTAGTATGCATAATCATTAAACAAATCTACAAAACTTGTAATTGTGGAGTATCATTTCCACGTTTTAGCGTTACGAACGGCTCACTTAAAATTTTATAAAGTTGTGGTTTGAAAACTGATTCTACTAAGCAGAAGAATAAAATACTAACTGATAAGGTATTTGTAAACAAATGAACAAAATTACTTACTTGCAAATCACTAGAAAATGGAAATGTCGTACCAGTCATAAAGTAATTGTTTTCCTTTAAGATTTAGTAACTCTTTGCTTTGGCAATTTAAAGTATGCGTAGGAGAAAACCTTTAAGCTAAAAAGTTAGATCTTGATTTGTGAGTGATTAGTTGCAACAATCCAAAATTGCAAAATGTACATTAAACGATTATTTTAGAAGTCTCTAGATTTAATCAACTGTTTATTATTGGATATTTAAAGGGTAAAACATGAAAACTCAAATTTATAACCTGCAAAATCCAGACTTTTTACAGGCCAGAACATTGAGTACAAGTTATTTTATTATTTATTCAATGTAGTATGCAATAGAAGTATTTCGTATAAAACCTAAGATTACAAATTTACTGACAAACGCTTCGAAATTGTAAAGATTATATGAGAGACTCTTTAAATCAAATACAGTGAGTCCAATTTGAGACAAAATGGCACACGTAACATACACAATATTTTGCAAGTACCCGAGCTACAGCAAATGCCTTTTTTGATGCACATGTCGGTACGTTTTACCATGTTTCTGAAAAGCTTTTGAAAAGCTCCAATAGTTGCATTCTGAAAGGCAACAGTGATACAACTCTTCAATTCTTATGCATGCGGATTCTGCTTGTGAAAGTTCGCACCCCATTATTATCGGAATTCCGAAGCTTAATCGGACTTTAAAATGTTGGGGATATTGGATTTTCTACTCCTGGATCTCTGGTCACTCTGGCATAAAAAAGGTAGTACTACAATCGCCAACCTTCAGTCCTCAACTGCAGATATTAAGATGTGTAAAATTTTGCGTTTGAGCAATAGATGGCAGATGCATTTGTATTATCAAGCAAACAATAAGCTGAGAAGTGTTAGACCCACTACTGTTTAGACTACGTGGCTAGTACTTAGAAGGGGGAGAAGTACTGTTAAACTCATTTGAGAATCTTCTGAAAGACGAGAGTTTGAAGTGAGATTCTCCATGCGTAACGTTAATATGAGCCAGTTTCCCCAAAGAAAGTTTTTGCAATGCATCGTTTTCCTTAAGCCGATAAAACCAGTGTCAGTCTGGTCATGATCGAAAGCGATTTACTCTAATCCCATCAAAAGAACTTCTAAAATGTTGAAGCCATGTTCTCCACGGTCGACTGCCTGTCTTAAGAAGCTGCTGATAGATTTCTTTTAACATCCTAGATGAAATGTTTAAATCTGAAATCTGTTAAACTTGACTATATAGGCAGGTATTGTCTAAAGTGTGTACAACGTTCCCTTTTCATACCGATACTACACGAATAGACACTGAAGAAAAACTGAGGCTGCGCTTTGTATTTACCAAAAGAATACGTAAGCGAAAACTTCTAAATTTCCAAAGGAAAGTATATAACTTTAGATTAAAGGGCATATCAGTAGGGCGAAGAAAATACCTTTCGGCCAAGAAACTTTCTTCTGCTATTAAAAGTGATATGGTTCTGTTTCTAGTTTGAGTTTCAGCAATTTCATTGTAGACTATTTAAATATAGAAAAGCATACGAAGGTTAACTGTTTAAGGAAAGGGAGGCCTTCATGGTGGAGTTTTAATGGGAAACTAGCTCACATTCACTTTATACGGGCGGAAAAACCCCCGAACACCAGCAATGCAGCCGAATCTTTCGTCTGGCCCTGAACCCGGTATCAGCTTTTAATATTTAGCAGTCTATAACTGCTCGACCACTGATGAGCCTTTCCTGTGTGGAATTTGCTAGCGTTACTGATGAGATGTTACTTAATAATAAGTAATTTACAAGACTGTGCCATGAATGAGAGTTTGAATTGAGACATTTTTTGATGTAGGACATCGATCCAAAAAACGCAGCTTTAAAGATCGGTTTATGAATGTTGTAGGAGACTGCGACATGCATTATTTTTCCATTAGACACCAGATTAAAAGCTGATTGAGCATTTGCGGTACATCTGACTCTGCGAATAAAGTACAGAATATTTTCATGCAGAAATTTCCCTTTTCACCATTTGAAGACGAAGGGCGAATATAGAAATCTCCATACCTTCGTATTTGGTGAGCATTATTACAAAAAGCCTCCAATCATTTGAAATAACTGAAGCGATACCCTAAGCAATGCTAATTAATGTTTCAGAAATATTTAAGAAAATCAAATGTATGAATAACTTGTGAAGCCATTAAAATGGAATTTTTCAGCATCTAACAACGGTAAATTTCGTTATCTTTTGAATACTGTATTAAAGCACGTTCGAATAGCACTTTCCAAAACTTTGCGAGGACAATACTTCCAATACTTTGCGACGGCAAGCTAGCGTTTACCAATAAGAGATGGTAGAGATTGGAATATGGGGACAGCTGGAATCCGCCTTTTCCCTTGCTTTTGTTGAGAGCAGCTCTGCAAGTTGAGGCATAATTGAGATAGATAATGTTAATTTTGTTAATTTCGGTGAGGTTTTCTAAGTTTAGGACCAACTAGGGCCGAGCTGTAAATTCGCTGAACACTGGCATTTCGACGTGGACTCGATTCCAGGTCAAATGGGCTGTCTGCATGATTATTTTCGTGGTTTCTCCACGCACCATGGATACGAGCTGTTTTCCTTTCGAAGTTCTCCACGGAAGCGGCACTTACCGTAAGCAGATAACCACATAGCGCTTTGTTGTCATAAAATAACTTATTAACTAGCTCTTAATTTAGCATCTCAACTAACTAAAATAAAAATGAGTTAAGTTTTTAAGCTAATGATTACAAAATGTTTAGTGCCAAAAAACTACGCCGTATCGTCAAATTACTTTCTTGAGTACGAAATGCATCTCGTTTTCTCTATTTAACATTAAGGAGGTAATGGTGTAAAATGCGTTTCCAATGTTCTAAATAAATGGAATAATCGTAATGGCTGAATAATCGGGGACTAAGGTTGCTTAGGTTGGAATGATAATATTGAAAACGCGTCTCTGAAATGCTGAAAATATATCTAAAAGAAGTGTTTGTAACTGTAGCTAGCTTTTGTCAATTTTATAACATTAAGGAAGTTGTTTAAGTGATAATCCCTCTTAGAAACTGTCATAGGACGAGACAAACTGAATGATTACAGTAGCTAAGGCCAGTTTACATCTGTCAGAGCAGCTCGTAGCGAACCGCTCGTCCGGGCGTTTCGAACCGAGTGAACGGACCTGTACTCTGATAGATTGCTTACACCAATCAGAGTGGACTGACAACTCGCCTCCGTTTGTTTACGAAATGGATACCGACGTGGCAGCTACAGGAAAGAATATGCATCAAGGAGGTTGCATTGAACATACATAGATGTTCTTTGGCTGCAGTGCTTGAAGTCTGCGAAGCAGTTTCAAACGAATTAATTTCTGCTCTTGGGAGGGGAAAAAGAAAAGGAAATGAGTACTTGACTGCGTCATATTTTATAAAACTTTAACTGTTATTAAATGAATGAGGAGTATCAAATGAACTATTAAATGAATTTCGGACGTTACTACATATCAGATACAAGAATTTAAAAGAAACTCAGTTTGAGAAAAGTTATTTAGTCAACTGTGGTTATTGAAATTCTAATTAACGAAGTTTTTCTATTATATACAACTGTTTATTTACACCTAATTAATCATTTACAAAATGATGTAAAAGTAATAATGTGTTTTATTAATAGAAAGAATATATTTATTCATCCAGAATCCCCAGAATCAGTAGCTCTCTGTGCATGTAATTAATTATGCAGGGTTCTGACTGGAACTGTGTTATTTCTAGAGAAGAATGCAAAATTAACCCATGAAATATTTATTCAAAGCTACCATTAACATGACATAAGTAAACTGTATAATATCTACCTAATTATTCAGAAAATCTTAAATAAGAAGTAGCAAAAACCTTAGGAGCATTACATATATTACCACAGGTAAAAGAATATATATATTATGACATAGTTCCAACAGGAAGATATTTATCGCAAATTGTTACTTTTGGATCCTACTGAAATTGTGTTTCTGGACAACACACAAAGTGATATCAACAAAATTAATAATGGTTAAATACAGTGATTATACTTTACTTTTAAAATGCTAAAACGGATAGTTTAAGAAGATTAGAATTCATCTAGCATAATTTGTATAAACCTTAATACACCTTCACTACTTGCACTCGCATATCCAAGCCGAACATGTTTCACATCCAAGCTGAATTGTAACGAATTATAGCCCAGAATGTTTTTATACAAAGCAAGAAATTTAAATATCCCCAATAAAACAGATCTACATATTTTTTTCATAATTCCATTTTTATTTTTATAGTTTATAATGTCATATATTTATTGCATTCTCATGTAGGAATGCTTGTAGAAAAATGAATATAAGCTCACATAATTATATAGAAGTATGCAACATCTGAATGAAGCAGTGAAGTGTTCCTTATCACACTGCATAAGATGCGTATGCACAGAGTCGTAGCTAGGGTTTTCAGCGCCTAGGGACAACTGAAGATTTCGCGCCCCCTACTGCTTGCCAAGGATGGAAAACATTTAATTCTAAAATGTCGTAACATCAGTTTGGCGCCCCTTGGATTCTGCGCCCGGGGACAGATGCCCCCTCTTGCCCCCTCTAGCTACGCCCCCGCGTATGCATTAG